GATAGAAAGTGAAAGAATACTAATACGAGAATAACAAGTGTAAAAGTATATAATGCAGGCTATTATTATTCAACTTAAATGTATCAAAAGCACTATGATTACAATTTACAGGAAAATCATATGCCGAAATAAAATGAGTTTAAAATGTAACTGCGTTAATATTGGTCAAACTAACAAGTCATTGATTGATTTGGTGTGATAACCAGCACAAAGTGACATTAAACCATTTTTGCATTGAAGAGTCCGGTTAAAATGACTCGAAAATAAAAGAAACTATGCATGGAAATTTGTCATCCGTGATTGAAAATATTTGGTGATAAGACTGGTATAGCAGATTGTAAACATGTAAAGGTTCTTTTTTTTGCGAATAAGTAAATGTGATGTAAATTGTGATTTTGAAGTAGATTTTAAACAGCGTATCATGTCATTATATTGATTTCTTTTGATAAACTGCATACCAAATAAATCTAAGCTCTATCAGTCACCAAAGCTTTATAGGAAACTTTATTATTATTTAACATTAAAATGAAAAGGAGAGAACGGAATATTTCTAGCATCCTACTTGTTTAAGAATATTAAACTGATCGAAAGTTGAATCGAAACGAATATTTAGCAAATTGAAACTTTAAACGTGATAAAAAGAATACTATTATAGAAATATCAGAGCTCTTCTTTTTCCTAAACCTTGCCTGATAAATGATATAACATCAGACACAAGCATGGTATTCTCAATTTATGGTAGCCTCTTCATATGGCTGACAGCATGCTTACACCTAAATGTACGCCCATGAATACCAATAACATTCTTAAAACGACGGGCAGACGGGGAAGAAAGTATGTCAATAATTACTAAATTCAAGTTTTGCTTAGACACATTGTTCTGTGATACACCGTCTAATATCACAATTTATGTCATGTTCGATTTGACGCTTACCGCTCGATACTGAGAACCTTACAACTCATAATTTAAAAACTCTGTTAGTAACTTAACAAACTAAAACATAGTACTCGACATCATAAAATTGCAATAATGGAACCCTCTAAATAATACAAAATATTGCAAGACTGTTGAGTTCGTGTATTGTTAACTTTTGGTTAAGTCTAGACGACAATTATTCTCTGAACATTATTAACTTAATGTACAGCATTGTTTAATGTACTTATATCTGGTGTTAATTACCATATTTTGACTACATTTAATTTGAATCTTTACACAAAAATTCTCAAAGTTAATATTCATAAGAAAATTATAAATAACGGTTTTCAAAAATAAATGTTTTATTGTAAATGTAGTATATCAAACACTTTCTATACTTAAATTTTCTCCAATGAATTGTTCTGCAGACTTGGATTGTGGTTAATATTTTGTATCATAATTCAAATCCTTTACATATTGGAACAGATCTTTCTTTTCTTGAGAGATTCATTCAGTTCCTCATAATTAGCTCTTAGTTCTGCTAGTTCTTTCTCTAGATATCTATTTTTCTGTTCTTGCTCTTCAAAATGGACAAGTTCAAGTTCGCTTTTCATCCGCTTGTTTAGTTCATCATGAATTTGATCTGAGAAAATAGATACAAATAGAGTGCGATAAAATTGATTGGAGTTGACAATGCCCGATACACATGGCACAATATTTTCTTAAAAGACTATGCTCATTGTTTGGGAAGCTTCATTCCCTATTACTTGTGAAATTGATTTCGTCTTTCCTTAAGGTGACAACAGACACTTTCCGTGGTACTCACATAAATGTCATTTAAACCAAGTTATTTTAGTAATAATTGTTATTTATTTAATCTTTGTGCATTAAATGTCGTTGATCATCATAAAAAATAACATATTTGAAAAAAATGCCTTTGTAAATGATTGATTTTGAATAAAAATCCTAAAATTTTAAATCGTCATATCAAAGTCATTATTTATTTTTTTGTCATCAAACTTTTGAAAAATAACCATACTTATATTATCTGGGGAACCGTGTCTCAAATTTTTTCTATCTTTTGTCAAAAAAATATTACGTAACGTCAAACATTTTATGCGACTTTTTTCACCATACATATTACGTAATTAAAGATAATAAAATCGCTGATTGAACAAACAATTATCCCTGACACGGTTCCCTCCGTAAATGAATTTCCTTTCATGTGCTTTAAACTGCATGTTAATTGCTTGATTATTAAAAAAGTTATGCCGATTCAAAGTTAGTCCGACCTGCATCAAACGAAGTGTCATAAATCGGCTGTTCTCTCTCGGACCCCTACGTTTCACGCTAAATAATTGCATAATACACAAATATCGCAACAGAGAGGGTCACAAGTTGCGGTAACATACTCTAACAACATTTTATGACCAAGTGACATCTGACCAATTAAAAAGCTGCTGATTAATATCAGTTTATAGCCGAAATTTCTTCAATTCTTAACGTGATTTACTGTCCGTCTGGTATCTGTCGCACATGCCGCGTGACTTTCGGTAAAATCTGAGGCACTCAGTTGGGCAAATGGAACGCATTTGCGCACCGCTAGCGGGGTATTTAATTGTTTCCTTTTTGAAGTTTATTATTATTATCATCAGCATTATTATTGTATTATACCAGTGTCACTCTGCCTGTGTATTCGTGTATGAAATTCCGTTAAAATATAAAATAACAAAAAAACCGAGCTTCTGACAGTCGTTAAAAGTCCATGGTAGATGTACAAATAAGAACGGGATATTATATATTTTTACCACCAAATTGATAATGCTTCACATATTTTAATAGTAATAAAACGCATTACTCGATCATTATGATCTGGCCTTCTTGACTTCTATTATCACGAATATCATCTATGATCCAGAGAGATCTAGTTTCTACCGGGATAGACAATATATTTCATACTTTGTCCCAGATTTTTTAGTACTGTGTCCGATTTACTGGCGAACAATTTATTTTCACTGAGAATATATTTTAATATCTTTTTTTTATTCATAGAGAAATAATCATCCTTAGACAATCTAAAATGGTTTAGAAATTTGTCAGGGACACCTTACCACAAGCAGGTACGTATATTAACATACGTACCTGCCACAAGTCATATAGGCGTTCACATAAAAAATATTGTCTGTTTTTGTTGTTGTTTTACGTGACATTGTTAGAAAACGAGGTTGAATGTAAAGTAAGCCCTTGAATCCGTACAAAAGTATATCAACTCAATGTAGTATCTATCAGATTAACGGGACAGACAAATTATTTTCACACATTATGGATATTTTAGCAACTGCATTTTTAATAAACCCCGTGGTCGTGCGATTTGCCGCTATGCTTAATTATTTATGTTTCATACATTATGTTACGTACATTGGCCGACAATTTCTTAATTTATAAAAAAGGCTAAATGTTGAGATATTCATAAAAGATGTACGGTAGTTGTACGATACATGTATTACAAGAAGTATGGACCAGTATGGACCTGTAATTCACGGATATATGGAACTACCGATTTCCCTCATTGATGCCTCAACAGGGGGCGGAGCGTTATCGATAATTGACAGGTTACGCGAATAGCAGATACAAATAGTATAGGTACCGTTTTAAAACGTTTAAAAACACATTTTTTTGGACTAACTGCTTCTAAAATTAAACACGAATGTGTTCAGAAAAGGTTGATAAATCTACTTAGCAAAAAATCTCATTTTAGGTATTTTCAGTGATAATTGACTCCGTTGTCACCTTAACTGCCAATTTTATTTATCATACTCTTATTACCTGTAGTGTGTAGAGTTTGAAGCGTAGCATATTTTCTCTGTGTGTATTCAAAATATGTTTATTTTACATTTCAAAAGAGTGTATGGCAATTATCAGTGCATTCAATATCAAATTTGAGCTTAGTATATCTAATAAACTCAATATATTGATATATTCTAAATATGATATGTGGATATTACTCTAACAAAATTTCTTTTCAAAGGAATAATTGCTTTTTAAATAGAGAGATGAAAATGTACCCAAAACGGCAAAATTGGAAATAGTGCAGGCTTGGTCTTATTGAATCTGTTCATGGACGTAACTGCCGTCCACGCCTCTCTAGCATCAGCTTACGACAAGAGTGAAATGATGAGGAAAGTTATATTTTCTAATAAACACTTTTTTTCTCTATGTGTTTTGTCCTGGACTTTGAGTTTGCTGACGTCTTTGTAGCATTCAAGTCCCTCGTGAAAATGTAGTGATAATTTTAATATGGTCATTTTCAGACACAAAATACTAAAAACATCACGAAGAATGATTTAAATTAAGTAGCTCGAACCACATAATCATTCAGAAAACGGGGATTTCTTAATAAATACGCTTGCCTGATTATGATAAAGACACTTTGAATGTCTTTATTTATCTATCATGTTTTATTCTATATACAAAATATAGTACCGTATCGGTCTTGGTTCTTTTGTCCAGTTGCCATGCGGTACAGTGCCATCTTATCATCTGATTTGCTTTTCGTAAACGCGTCAAAGCACTGATATAGATGTAACAAATAAAAATTCATTTGCATTTTAAAGGTTATAAAGGTGTAAAAATTAAAATATCACAAAAGCAAATGTATCAGAAAACAAAACAAGATGAACTACAAAATACATGTCTAGATTTCTGTGATACTTTATTGCAGGCGTTGAAAGACATTCAGATTAAAAAAGGTTGGAAAACTGTAAAATTAAAGTTGTCTGCAGAGAAACTATTTTGAACAGACATAATTTTGTGACAATTCCTTAACATCTCAAGGCAGAGTATAATTGGGGTAAAAACAAAGAAAAATATTAAGCAGTTAATTGAAAACGTAATGAATTGCAAACTTGACAAACTTGACATTTGCTTAAATATAATGAACAGTAAAAAATGAATATGAAATGAAAAGAATAAAAATACCGAAAGTTAATGGTCTGATTTTTAACATGTTTGTCTCTGACGTGTTTCTTCTAAAATTCACGCAAAGTATATAAAAGGAATAAAAAATATAACTAAGTCTTACAACATCTCTGTCATAAAGCTTCTTCACTTCGAAAAACCCCTTTTTAGTTGTTCCATGTCAGCTTCGTAGTAACTGTAGCCTGTCTCACCTGTGATGTATCTACTTTCGTTTTTCCATAACATGTCATCATACATCTTCGGCAATATCTTCGTTCCCTTTTCCAGGCATGTTTTATTTATTTCGTTTTTCATCATGTCTAAATATGCTTCCATTTCTGTCTGTAAATATATATAAACTTCGTATTTTATATGACGCTTTCAAATAAATTCAATCGAAGCATCATTATCGGAGTGTTACTTATAATAACAAATTTCAAATGATTTACACCATTCAGTGAGTTCATTTTACTATGTTCAAATTATTCAATTATACATTCCTATGACATATCAGCATGTCATGAAATGATGACTTGGGAGCATCAATATTCTTATCTATTGTATGAAAGTGTTCGCTGTAGTAAAATACAATCCTTTACTTTTTTCGACCACAGTAAGTCATTGACGCCGTTTAAAGATACCTTGAAGTCGGAGATTTGTTCAAAAACTTCGGATGTAACAAGACAGTATAAACTGATCCTTTCAATTAATCAAATATTTACAAGGTAAAAGTTAACAGAATAATTGGTACAAAGGTAAGCTACACTTTACCAGAAGTCTTTCTTCATACACATCTTGAAGGTACAGAAATGAGCCTTTACGGTATTTGGAATATGTGGCATCGAACAGTATGAAAAACTTCTTCTGAAGTTTCTCTTTGCTTTCTATATGTTGATATGTGTCCATTATTTTTTAAACTTTGTTAGCACCTTTTTGAAAACCCGCTCATTACGTTGAATAGACGCTTGTCCATATGCATCTTGACACTTTAAAGGACTACCTTTCCTCAGTGAGTTTACGTAAAACGTGATGAGAGTTGTTAAATCTAAATATACAAACAACAAATTATTGGTAGTTTCCTTGACGTTATTTTTTTTTCAAAATCATTGCATTATATTATTTACAGTCACTTTTAGTTTTTCGTTATGTACGAAATTCCGGTTATAAATGGTTGAAAATCATTGAATACTGAAGTCTGTAAAAAAATAACGTAAAAATGACTGATTTATTACGATTTGGGCCGATGTTAGATTGTTTGGGCGGGAAAACATTACAGTAAGACTACTTTACATCAATATTCTTAAACTCTCTGAAAGACCGATAGAGACATTTCAATTTCAAGAATTTATCAATACAACTAGACGAGCTTAAGATTTCAACTTCAAGAATTCGCGAATTTAACATAGTAAATTCATGAACTCATGATTTCAACTATCACTTTACGGTTTAGCATAAAGAATTCAGATATTCAATCCATAAATTCAAATCTCAAATTTATGATGTTCATATCAAGATTTCATGAAGCTGAAATTGTAAACACATTGCATTGAAATCAAAATCGTGTTTGAGTGCATTTCACAAGTCGTTTGGCTTTAAAAAAAGTCTGAAAATTTGATTGTCTAAGTTACAAACTGCTCGTTGAGCTGTTAACATCATTGAATAAGCTAAATTACCTTATAACCATTTAGAAATATACGTTGTACAACTAGAGCCGGTTTGAACAGGGTGTTTACTCCCCGAAAAGGTTTAAGACATAAAAAATACACCTCTTGTTGTTTCAGAGTTATGTCTCGGGCAAAGTTCAAAGTGCAATAATTCCAAAATTAGCAAAGGCAGATTTACAATTCTTTTACTGGCAGTTCTAGACTGCAATGGCTTTATCTACCGACTAAAGTTTTCTTGCTTGAATCTTTTTTAGTTACAT